ATGAGATTTTGGATGCCTGTGGTGGACATGGTAAAAATAGCAGCTGCTGTCTGTCTGTATGCCAGACTAGCTGCTGTATTTACTTTTCTATATGTTCTACTTTGCAGCCTTGAAAGGGAGAGGTTAACTTCAGTCTACATAGGGAAAACAGGATTAGAGAGGTAGCACAATTTTCCCAAGGTCACCCTTGTGGGTAGTGACAGAGACAAGATTTAAACCTAAAGCTGTCTAACCCCAAACCCTTTGTTTTGAACTAGTAAGCTGTATTTTCCATCATTGATGTATTGCTTGGTGTTCTGTCTTTTACACTTGCCATTACTAGCCAGGGAATAGTTTGTCACTCTGTCATTTGAATGACAGTGGACTGTCACACAATATGAATTAACTTAACTTATTTCTCCATTTGCTTTGTTTTGTAGTTTCTCAATAGGTGGTGCAGATGTAAACATCTTTGTGCAAATAAGAGTGGTTTCTTGGGTTTTTGTTTTTTAGGTATTTGATGGTAGTCCTAAAAGTAGGATTGTTGAGCCAGAAAATCTGTGCCCTTCGTTCACCCATTCAGTGGTCATTTTCTGAGTGCTTACTGTGTACCAGGTGCTGAAGGTAAAGAGGTCATTCAGAAATGGCCCTTCCCTCAGGGAACTAACAGTCTCGTGTAGCACGGGTGATGTAATACAGAGGGAATGATACTAAAGTGGGTATTTGGGCAAGAAGCAGTGAGAACACTGAGGAACATGGCCTCTGACGGTGTCAGGATGTTCCTTTTTCCCCATGTAACAGGGCAGGGCAGAGAGGAGCGCAATGAGAGGGGGCTGCCTAGTGGTTGAGTTCTTATCCCAGCTTTTCCCAGGTCTGTGGCTGAGCTGGCTCCTGGACGAGGATACTTTCCCCATCTGTTCCTTTCCTGCAGCTGCCATTACTGCCCAAGTACACTAGGTGCAACCAAGTAGAAGGTAGAGAGCAGAGACACGTAGGGAAAATGGCTTGGGGCTTGGGGAGTCGTATGTATGAATGGCTGTCCTCCAGGTCCCCTCTTCTTCCTTTCTATATAAGCCCACAGAAGCCACAGTGACAACATGGTGACCTGTTCCCACTCATTTAGCAAATAAGAAAGTACATGAAGCATAAGTACATAGCTCAATGTGTTAAAAAACCGAGTACTGTGCTAGATGCTAGGAACACAGAAATGAATTTCACATGGCCCATGAACCCAAGGAACTGGTATAGGTGGTTGGACAGACAAAAAAAGAAATGGTACAACTTGGTGTGATGGAGGTCTGTGGGAATAGCAAGGGGCATTGAGCAGTGAGTGCCCTGGAAGTGTATGAAAGCCTAGTGCTCTGCAGTTGTGACTGGCTGTGGTGTTGCCCATCTCCCAGACCCATTCTCCCCCTATAAAATAGAGGGATGAGTTTGATACCGTCAAGCAGCCTTCTGACTCAGTTGTGCTGTGACTCTGCCTCTTGTCGGAGAGCAAGGCTGACCTGCTCCCCCAGAAGACCCAACTTAGCTTTAGCCACTCCATCTTTTCCCCTCCAATCTCAGCCCCACCCCACCCCATAGAGTTCTTTGGTTTTCTGCTTCCAGCCTTCTTCCTCTCTTGGTCTACATACACTCCTGTGATTTCGGTTACCATTATGCACTGATGACACCTATATCTGGACATTCAGTCCATCCTCTTCACTAACTTTGTGATTCATATACAGGCATACCTTGCTTTATTGAACTTTTCGGATATTGTGTTTTCATCAACATTGAGGCAAAGCCCTCCACCAGCAAAAAGTTTACAATTCACTGTAGGCTCATATGATGGTTAGCATTTTTTAGCAATACATTTTGTTAAATCAAGGTATGTACATTGTTTTTAAAGATATAATGCTATTGCATACTTAATTAACTACAGTATATCCTGATAAATCACCCAAAAAAATTGTGTGGCTCACTTTAATGCAAGGAACCAAAGTTGCAATATTTCCAAGGTATGCCTATAATAATAAAAATAATCAGCATCTGTTAAATCCCAGATTTGATACTACAGTCATTACTTAAATTGTTTCACATCATCTACCCAACAATCTTGTGAAGTGGGCAGTGGTACCGCATTTTATAGATGAGTGAGACTGAATTCAAGAGATACTCAGGCTTGCTCCAGATCCCAAAGTTAATAAATGACAAGACCCAGGATTTGAAAACCTGTGTCTGCCAGGATCTGACATTCACACTGTTAGCCATCACACCATATATCCCAGAATTCATCCAGGCACCAAAGAGATATTTCTGCTAAGATATTCCACAGGTACCTGATTTTCAACACGTCTAAAATTGGCCTCCTTGGTTTCCTGCCTTCTCCATCTCAATAAATGGCACTACCAACCCAATGACACCCACACTAGAGGCCCGGGAGTCTTAGTAGATCCTTCCTCACCCTTTCTTCCAATATCCAGTCTCTGTGACTTCCTGCTGATTTCCTCCACTTTTCTCCATCCCTACTGCTATTCAAGGCCATCCATGCTCTTCCCTTTTTGGGTTCCTGCAGCAATCTCCTTATCAGTCTCCTAGCCTCTATGCCTTCTGCCCCAAGCCATCCTCCCCACAGTAGTGGGCCAGGGTCATCCTTCTCAAGCACACATCTGATGTCATCACTTTCTAGCTTCAAATTCTGCAGTGTTTTCTATGGTTCGGCAGCAGAGCTCAAAGCTGTTCCACCCATGGGCAGAAATCTAAGAAGAAATGTTTTATTCAGTCCATTAAGCATGCTTAAAATATTTTGAATCATTTGCCAACACTTAGAAATTAGGAAACTCCACATGAAAGGTTTATTTCTGGCTTCTCTTGCAAAAGCAATAAAAATTGGCAACTCTGGGCCCACGTCCTTGCAGGTCAATGATTGGATGGAGCTGATTGGTGGTTGCCCTCTTTAGAAGGGGCAGGGGCTTTCTAGTTGGCCAGTTTCTAGTATCCCTAATGTTTCTTTGTCTCTGATCAGTCCTTTGCTCCCAGTTACCTGAGTCTTGAGGCATTTGGGCTCATGATCCTGCAGCACAGGGTAGAGTCCAAAGCCCTCAGCCTGGCTCCTAAAGTCCTGTGTGGCCCAGCTCGGAGCAGACCAGCTCTGCCAACCTCTTAAGTATTACTTCGATTCTCTACCCCAGCATACTCTCCTCTGTGGCTCCAACTTTTACACAAATATGGACCCACTGAACCAAGAGGTAGTTCATGTTTCCGCACTTTCCCCACAAAGCTGAGTTTTCTCCTTCCATAATACAGGGATGAACAAAAGTAGGTTCACAGTTGTTCATGCAGAAATAATACAACAAGTAATAAAGAATAATAAAAGAATCAAACTCTGTTTTTCCTACTCACAGCTGTAAACCTACATTTGCCCACCCTCTATATGGTACAGACCTTGGTCTGCGCACCCATCATACTGGTTCATAATTGTTGACTGGCATGTCTTCCTCCCCTGCCTGACTGTGAATCTGAGATTGTAGGGAGCATTTCTTTTTTATCTTCCTATCCCCAAAGTTTTGCACAGGACTTAGAACAGGAATGTCAAACTCATTTTCACCAGGGGCCATATCAGCCTTGTGGTTGCCTTCAAAGGGTTGAAATAATTTTAGGACTGCATACATGTAACTACTCCTTAACTGTTAAGGAGTTGAAATAACATTCAATCCTTTGAAGGCAACCACGAGGCTGATGCGGCCCCCAGTGAAAATGAGTTTGACACCCCTGCCTTTGAATATAATAGGTGCCTAATAACTAATAAATGAATGGATAAATCAGTGAAAGACTCACTTGAAAAAAATTTACTCCAGGATGTATAATAATTTTGCCACCTACTTGCTGGGGTAGAGGGTTCTAGGTTCTTTTCATTCTGGACCACTCCTTTCCAAGACTCTACTCAGGGTGACAGTCATGACATTTATAAGCCTACTGGGATGGTGGTTCTTAGTGATGATAAAGGGAAAATAATATTATTTGTGGTGTACTAGGGGAGGAAGTTGTCTAGCAGTTGGGACATGGCACCACCATTGTATGTAGCACATTTTTAGTTATTTGAATAATAATGGTATAGTAATTATAGTATCTAACACACATTGTACATTTACATTGTATGAGATCTTGTTCTAACAGCTCTCAATATATTATGTCCTTTACTTCTCATAACAATTTTAAGAAATAAATAGGACTCTTATGCCCATTTTACAGAAAACTCAGCTGAGATTTGGGGCGTTTAAACAACTTTTCCAGGGTCACACAGCCAGTAAGTGGTAAAATACAGGTTTAAAACCTAATCTGTTTGACATCACAGTTAACACTCTCAACCACCATGCTATTCCCAATAAATGACATTTCTCTTCTGAAACTTAAGGGAATACACACACACACACATGCACACATCCATAGTAATAATTAAAAGCAAGGAAAAGGGACTCCTAAGGCATAAAGATCCAAGGAGACACACCCATGGGCTAGCAGTAGTTGCATTTGGGTAATAGAGCTGGGGATGATTTTCTTCTTTTCTTCCATTTTGTTTATACTCTTTAACATTTTCTAAATTCCCTTTAATGAGCATGTTTTACTTTTCTAAATTAAGTTTAAGTGTCTTATTTAATAAAAATATTATCATTTCAACATGTAATCAATATAAAATTAACATATTTTACATTCTTTCCCATGTGCAAAATTTGTGTATTTTGCACTTATAGCATATTTCTATTTTAGTCACATTTTATTTTATGTTATTACTTTTACAATAAGTAAAAGCTCTCTCTTTGTAATGGTCTCAGCATTACATGGCAGAACAGAGGTTGGGAGGGGGCTGATTGGAGTACCCAGGTAATCAGTGGGGCTGTCTCTTAGGTAGCTGTTACTAAGCACTGAAAGGGGGTAATCTGCAAGCAGCAGCTGGGGCTTCAGCACCTGCACCTTGTGTGGCAAAGGGGGAGAAGTGCGTCATTAACCCTGCTACCTCACCATCTCCCCTTTTTCTTCAGGTGCTTACACCCCAGAGCCCCTCAGCTGTTTCCAGTGGGCACTTCTCTCAACTGGCCTCATGTTCTTTTATCACTTCAGCATCTTACAGATCCTGGGCCTGGTAAGTTTGGCTCTAACCCCTTCTATCCCCTCTGTTTGGAGTTTTTTCATAAATCTTGATAATCCTGGTTGGCACCGATGCATTGTTTTGTATTGAAAATACAAGATGCCAAAGGCCAGGACATCAGATTGTTGTGTCTGGGTTGCTGATTTATGGTCTGCAGCCATGGCTTCACTAAGCAGTTTTCTGAGTCCTTTAATAATGGCTGTTTCTTTCATCCATTGGGAGGCAAGGATGCTACCTTTCAGTTATAGCCACTTGGATCAGGAAGAGTGAGCTACAACTAGAAAGTGGTTTGCTGTGGATCCCATAGGTAGGCATGACCATAACCCTTACTCTGGGCCTGGGTAGACCTTTCGGCCTACTCCCAGACCCTGAGCTGTGTGGCCAGTGGAAGTACAGTGTTGGACATTCTGGGGTGTTCAGACCTGCTGAGAGCTTGGATGATGGCTGGACTCAGTATTTGAATTATCTAGAACTGAAGAATACTGAGCATATGGATGTCTGGTGGTGGTAAAGTGAATAGGAAAAGTTCAGAGCTGGGGCTTGAGGGGGTGGTCAGGAGACCCAAGTTAAAGTCCTGGTTCTGCCACCTCATCCTCGAGGATGGAGAGCTCTGCACCCCTCAGTGACATGGTACAAAACCCCTAACCTCCCCAACAGGTGCTGAGGACTGGTTTTTAATGTGAGTGGGTTTGCAGGAGGAAGGTGTAGTGGCTGTCCTTGGGGCAGGAGTGGCATGTCTGGATTTGTGTGTGAGCAGAAGTAATATAGTATTTTCCATGTGGAGACTTGCAGGATCTGGCAGGATTAGGCTGTATAATCAATGTCAGCAGTGCCTTTGTAGAAAGAGTTACCTTCTTTTCCCTACCCTAGCATATTGTTCTGCTCTGGTTTACTTTGGGGTGTGGTTTGAGCTCCTTGCCGAAAGTGTGCATGCTTCCTGACAATAGGGATGGAGTAGTATGACCTTCACACCTTTATTTGCACTGCTCTCTACTGGGCCTCCTTGATTCCAGAAGAGCCAGTGTCCTTATGTCACCATCCATACCATACTTCATCCCACTTCCAGGCTGGCTCAGGCCACATCTCCTATAAGGAAGGCTCTGCTTACTCCATTCTTTGCCGTGACCCCCATTCATCCTTCATGAGTCCATTCAGATGCCACTTCCTTCATGAAATCTTACCTGAACACTTTGTCTCCATTCTGTACACTATGTAGATCTGGTGAGGCAGACCCGGTGAGCTCCATCTGGTCTAAGGTCAGATGTGGTAGACAGATCACCCTAACTTGATTGGTTGCCAGTTATGTGGAGGCAGGGACCATACTGTTAACTGTTCTTTTCTCCCATAACACCTTTCTGGGGACTAGGCACATAGTAGATGCTTAGGAATAACAACAGGCCCTATGCTCAACATAGAATGCAAGATGGAGCAAAACCAAACAGATCTCCCAACATTTCTTCCCCATCACTTCCAGAGGGCTCTAGCTTTGACTCACTCATGAAACCTAGGGGAGAGAAATCCTATTATGAACAGGTGGGGATTTGTTAATCCCTACTTGTCTAGTTTCCCTTTAGGTAGAGATGGCTGAACTGGCAGAAGCCAGAGAAAGCCTAAGGATGGTGAACGCTCACTTTACCTCCCTTGTCCCTGCAGGTCACCGAAGTGAATTTGAACAACATGCTGTGTCCGGCCATCTCAGACCCATTCTACGGCCCCTGGTATCGCATCTGGGCCTCGGGACACCAGACTCTCATGACCATGACCCACGGGAAGCTGGTCATCCTGTTCTCATATATGGTTGGGCCCTTGTGTAAATATCTGCTGGATTTGCTCCGGCTTCCAGCCAAGAAAATAGACTGAAGGTGTTTTTTTTTTTCTCTCCCTGAGGAAATAAGTCCTGACTTGATTTGAAGAACACCCAGTTCTTAATGACATCTTGGGAGAGGGCAGTACAATGTTTGGTGTATTTCTTTTTTCCTCCTTTCTGTCCCTTTCTTCCACCACTCTTCCTTCCCCAGCTCTTCCTCCCAGGACATTGCCTGGAACATGGGTGTAGTGCTGAGGGCTGAATCTGTTCTTCACCCCTTTGCTCCTTCTTCCTGCTCCCAGTGGCCTTACATAGGGAGACAGTAGTCAGTAGCTTTCACTCTGCTTGTTGGTGCTCTAACAATGGCTGGTTGAGGAGAAAGGAAACAACAAGCAGTAGTTACTTGGGCATTGAAGTGATGAGATTGGTTGTGTTTCATTTCTCCACTGCCAGGGACCTACAGGTTTGTTCTGGGGTCCCCTTTGTCTCCAGCAAAACCCCCATTGTAAGGGGACTGAGACCTTGTTTCTATACCAGCAGGAAGCCAAGAGCCATGGGATTTCCCAACTCATGGCCAAAATAGAACTGGCCAGATTCTTATCATTGGTGTCTCATGACTCAAAGCAAACAACCAACCAGCCATGATCTCCAGGAGGCTGCCTGCAGTGGGATATGGGACACTACCAGGTCCAAGGGCTTAATTGCATTGAAGAGGATAGAGAGCTGCTGCAGTGGCAAATCTGAAGTGAACAACATTCAAATGTCCACAAGTAATTCTAGGCAGGACTCTGGGCACATTCTGCCTGTGAGAGCTGAGGACTAGCCCACATCCCAATCAAAAGTGAGTATAGAAATTAATCAACAGAAGTGGTAACTTGAGAAAACAGAAAACAGATTCGACTCATATGTTTCCATTTCAGTGTCATGCTGGTAAGAGATGCCAGTTTAATCTTGAGTGCCCTTAAAGGTTCTCTCTCTGTCTTTGGTTTTTGTTTGCTTGCCTTTTTTTGCTTTTTGGCTTTTATTTGCTTGCTCATTTGTTTTTGGATGTTTGAGTCTGGAGAATCCTTGCACCAGGGCATCTCTCTGAAAGGGCTCTTGCCAATGCATTTTGTGGCTTTACAGGATATGTTAGTGTCTTGGGTTTCAGAAGATACAGATCCTGCTGGTGTTGTCTCCTTAGGGCCAGATATCATCACTGTAGCCAGACACAGTACTGAATTGTTGATCATGGGAGGCATCACATGCTCCCCACCCTGCCTACTTCTAAGCCCATGTCTAGATTGAAAGGGAGGTACAAAGGAATTAAATCCTCATGGGTGGAGATGCAGCTGCTCCAAATGGAAGACCTTTTGTTGAAAGACTAGGTAAGTCACTCATGGATCTCAAGAACGGAGACAGTGGCTGGGCTTTTGCTCTTTTCTTATTAGCTTGTATTAAGGAGATTTGCTTAAGAACAGAAAAGATAGTTCAGTGACTTCCTCTGGTGGGCTTCCCCTCCCATCTTCCACCCTAGGCAACCCAGTTACCCTGGACCAGTTTCAATATTTCAGGTGTTACTGTATGAGATGTAGATTGAGCTTTAGTGACTCAGTGGTTACAATTTTAACAAATGGACCTACAGGAGGTAGCAGAATGTAGGACAGTTTCTGAGCAAGGGGAGGCCCAGGGCAGCAACCATGGAACCACCCTTTTGCAGATGCCTGCTGGCACTGAAATTTCAGCCCCCAGGGTGTGGGGCAACAAGAGGGAGATCACTGGGTACTCATAGTCCCCATGAGCTCTGAGAGACAGGTAACCTTCATTTTCTGCTGTCTTTGAGGATACGAACAAGTTTTTCTTAGTGCCTCTCACTCTAGGGTTGCATTCCAGAAGAGGAACCTTTTGATTGGCAAGATTTGCCTTGCCCACCATCAAAGTGCTGCATGGAGGATGGGCCAATAAGGAAATGTGCAAGGCCTCCGTGCTCCTCAGCCTCTTTACAAAAGGAAAAGTTAGAAGGAGGTCACGGGTGGAGCCCTTAGGGGCCTGTCCTGCCCCCTGCCAGTGTGTGTGGAGTCTTTGTAGGCAGATGACATGCCTCAGCTGGCCACAGGGCTATAAGTGACTCTGCAGAAGCTCTTTTTCTCCCTGTGTGGCATGGTACAGGTGGCCAGTCCACCTGGGTTTTCCCTGCATTGGCATGCCTCTAAAGCTTGCCTTTGCCCTGGCTACAGCTCAGTGCCCCGTTCTATCTGGCATTTTGTACTGCTTGGAAGGAAAGAAGACAGTGAAAGCCATGTGCCTGCCCTGGCCAAGCCAAAGATGGATACACTTGTCAGAGAACGGAATACGTGAAGGGGAGATGTAGGGCTTCTGAGGGCCAGGCTGGCTCAGAAACATGGAGGTGGGAGGAACAGAGAGGAACAGTGAACCTAGTCCAGAGGCTCCACAGGGCACCAGGGACTCTGTTTGAGGTGTTAGGGAGCAGTGTGCATCTGAATTGGTCTGTACCTCACTCTCACCTTGGACCAAACCTGGCCAAAAACCTGGCAGCCTGCCTTGGAGAGAGGCGCCCTTACCAGTGGGCCTGAACTTCCCAGCTCCTCTTCAGGGCCTTCGTCCAGTGCCAAGGAGGTTCCCCAACCACTCTGGCCAAGTTTCCATGTCATTAGCCAGCGTGTGCAAGCTTAGTGTGTGTTTGAGAGAGTGTTTGTAGGAGTAGGAGTGTTTGTAGGAGTGGATGACTTCTTTCAAAACAGCCCTAAGAAGAGAAATGACTGTTCCCTGAAGACCCTGGGTAGCCTTGGCCAAGGATCTGGGCCAATGAGAACAGTCTATTCAGTTGTCCAACTTGTGGCATCAGCTGAGAAGAGCAGGAATATGGTCATGCCTGCTTGCAGTCTGAGTATTTGGCTTTGGACACCAAAGATGACCTGGCCCATTTTCTTCCCAGTGATGTATAACTCTGTGAGCTTATGAGAAAAGCACCGAATTTTTCTCCACAGTGCTCTCTCTTTCTCCTTGAACTTCTCAGCATTCACAGAAGCTGCTTGCAGAGTGGTTGGGCTAAGTTGCATGGGCAGTGCACTTTACCATCCAGTACCACAAGTCTAGCTATCAGATCATCTCTTTAGCTGCAGCCTTGGCCAGGGCTTTGCTATTTGTGCTGCTTGATAATTCAGTTTTCTGGGGAGTAGGCATAGCTACCCACAGATAACAAATTGTCAGCAGGTCTCCAGGCACTGGTATTGGGGCTGGGTGGTGCTGAGGGAGTAAGCCGAGTACCTCACTAGGTGGTGGAAAGCCCTTTTTCCTATTCCCTTGGCCTAAAAGACTTCCCTGGATCTCTAGATGTTGATCCAGAGTCATGTGTCCTCTTTGGGAGATTGAAAGGGAGGTATGGGAGGAAAAAAGATGGGCTGAGCCCCTGCCAGTCTGGTTCAGTTGCTTGGGTGACGTCCTGCAAACCAAAGGGTTACTGGCTCTATTCCTAGTCAAGGCAAATGCCTGGGTTGTCGGTTCAGTCCCTGGTTTGGGTGCATATGGAAGGCAACAAATTGATGTTTCTCCTTCACATCGAGGTTTCTCTCCCTCTCTTTCTCCCTCCCTTCCCCTCTCTTTAAAATCCAAATATATATAAAGAAGGGCCATGTATGGCATAGCAGGATAACATGCAGGTGCACTGCTGGTTTTGGTGAATCTGGAGCAGACATAAGAGGGGGGCCTGCAGCCCTTCGTGTACTCCTTGGCAAGGCCCCAGACAGAAATGATCTTCCTCCTTTATGCCCTACCCTGACCTGCCCTCTGGGTAGCGGGTGTAGAGTCATGACAGGGAGTGAGCCTTCTTTTTATATATATAGATCAAGTCAGTTTGTGCTCAGGAAAACCTGTTAATTTGTTGTTGCTCTTGTCTGTGACATTTTTGTACAGTGGTTTGCTGCTCAGTGACATGAAATGAAACAAAAGTCATTTTAAGCAAAGCTCTTGTTTTAGAAACTTCCAGTGTCAGTTTTGTTTATATTTTAAAGAATTATTCATTTCTATTGGTGTTACTGTGGTGGAGAGAATAAGATAATCTGATCTGTAATTATTTCTGCCAAGCAATTGGCAAATGCATCTGTCCCTCTTACACCCCACCCTCATCCTTCCTCATCCTGAAGGCTGACCCCTTCCTGTCACTGCTCCCCTCAATGGCTCCCTTTTAGACCAGTCTATATAATCCCCCTAAATAGTAGCATGGTGAGTATTTTTGCCAAGCTGGTTCTTGGTCCCTCTGCCCCCATTAGTTTGTTCACTTCTCCGGGCATTTTGTAATGAGTTTTCCCTGTTTTCTAAAACCATTTGATTGTACCAAGATGGTTCTGCAGTCACCTTTGGAAATAAATGGTTATTAATTTATGTACTTAGCATTTTGAATTTTAGTCTTAGGTGGGTTTTTTTTGTTGTTGATGATCCCTGAATGAAAAGGAACCCTCACCATGGGACTTACTGTTACAATGTTTTCTTCATTTACTGTTATTAAAAGATTTATGAGAACACAGGAGTCTTGGCCTTGCTTCCTATACCCTCCCAGAAGGCCCCCTGCTTTGAAAAGGAAACAAACGGGGCTGCTGGTCCACCACATCATGGAGCAGAGCACCAGAGGCACTCTCTGCATAGCTTTGCCCTGGGAGCTGTGTGGCCGGATGTGTGGCTTTAAATTCCTACATGCTGCCTGCTTCTGCTAGGGACCCAGGGAGTCTTTTGCTCTTAGCAGGGCTTGTCTGCTGGGGACATTTGCTGCACTCACTGGGCCCATGTTGCATGGACCCGGGCTGGATGACTGAGTTAGACAAGGCAACATTGAAACCAACATGTTCAGACTCAGTCATCCCAAGTTCCCTGAGGGCTGGCTCTGTGCCAGCACTGTTCACCTTGGGCTCTGTGCCCAACACAAGTCAGAATATACTATGGGGAGAAGTGGAGAGGATAACTCTGAACTTCGGTGCAGTCAGACCTGCCTGCCCAAGGCTTCCCACTGAACAGCCCATGGTGAGCATGATTAGCCCAGCTTGACATTACATCAAACAGCATGTCTTCCTTGGTGTTTTACTGGTGCTGCTGCTGCTTCTAGAAGGGGCACAGCTAGCCAGAGTGGCCTGCAGTGCTGCTGGATGTCCTCATTGGTCAGTAGTTGGGCACCCAGCATAGCAAGGAAGCAGGGGCCTGTGACCCTGGGCCACAAAACCACCACATAGAGCAAGTCCTTTGATCTCTTGCCACCCCAGATGCTGCATCTGCAAAGCATTAAGTACATCCATGTGCCAGGTATGATGCTAAGTCCCGCCACACAGTACCTCATTTGAATCCCACAAAAACACAGAGAGTTGACTGGCAGTGCCGTCGCCACCTGACAGAACTAATAAATGGAGAAGTGAAACCAATTTTAGAGAGTGTTTTACACTCACCCCCAGACTCCATGGTCTGTTTGGACTGCTGGCATTACTGAGCAAACCTGAAAGAGAAGGGAAGAAATTCAGGAGGACAACCGGAAAATGATGTGGCAGGCAGGAGAGATGAAAATGATACCCATGACTGCATGACTGGAGTAGTCAAGCCCATGTTTGTTTGTTTTTTGTGCTGCCCGCAGGCCTGAGTGGTGAGGCTCAGAGCAGAGCTGAAAGGTAAAGGAGTAGGGGTAGGGGAAGGGGCACAAGGGTCTAGGTAGAGCTGGCCCAGGTAGAAGGATGGAAAAAGAAACTGTTGGATGGATGGGATAAAAGTTGGGCCCATGACCTTTCCATGTGTCTTCCTTTTCAGGAATTGCTAAATACCAGTGGCCTAGGCCATGCCGTCCTCTTGCCTGGGCTAGTGCTTCTGCCTTTGTCTCTGCCCCAGTCTTTTCCCTACTGTGGGCAAGTTTTTCAAATACAAATCTGACTGCTTCATTTCCCTGGGCCCTGTAAACATCTAGGTTTCATCTCCTTCCCAGGCCCCCCAGGAACCATACACAGGGGAAGACCGCTTGATCCAGGCATATCATACTCCATTTATTTGTGCCATTACCTTTACCCACTTCTTTGCCTTTCTCTTTGTGCTGTTTTCTTAGCTCTCCATTCTCTTTTCTCGTCCAAAGGCCTGAGTTCGAGTGTCAGTTCCTGTGCACAGTCTTCCCTGAGCCCCAGTCTGCATTAGATTCTTCTCTGCTTGGCTTCCACAGCACATAGTACTCACTCCTGGGCTGCAGTTTGCCCCATGTTGTGTAATCCCTTAAGGCTCTCTCATGGCTGTTGAGCTCCTTGAGGGCAGGGTAGGGTCTGATTTTCCCTCCAGCCCCTGGCACCTTGGACCTGCTCCATAAGAAGGTGATAAATAAACAGTGATCTTTCTTGGAGTCCTGCAGGCACAATCATCACCTGAGGGAGAATCCTTGGCCCCGAAGCAGGAGCTATCGCCCATCCTGTGAGCTCTGCTGCATGGGATATGTGCCTTTGTTTGTCAAGATACCTCAAGCTCCAGATTCTGGGCCTCCTTGCTCAGGGGCCCATCCTGCTTCTCTGCAGGGCTCTCTGTGGTTGGGACCTTGGATGAGGTGCTGGTGTTGGGATGGAAGAGAACTGAGACCGTATTTGTTCACCTGACTCTAACCCAGACCACTGGGTAGAGGGTGAGGATGGCATCATCGATCTGCTTTGCCATATCCCTGGCTCATCCTCACCAGGTTCATCCCCATCAGAGTCACCCCTCTGTTTCCAGGGCACACAGACTTGGTGTTTGCATGGTGAAAGCCTAACCAGCCCATGGAATGCATCACCTACACCTTGAAGGGGTACGAAGCAGCTCGGGATGGTTACCATCTGAGCTCCTAGTGAGTTTTATCCAAGGGGGCCGCAGAGGTGCTGCCTGCTTTTGCTGTTGCTTCAGCTGTGCCTTCCTCTTCCCTTGTTCCTAGGACTCTCAATCACTTTGATATTATTTTTTTTAGAAAGACCCTGGGCTCTCCAGTATTCTCTCTGAGAAAGGAGGGGCCTTCCTGTGTACTCCAGGGCATACCCTCAGATTTCTGGAATGTTGGAGCTGATAAGATAACACTCATACAGGAGCTTATAAATTTTCTTGCAAATCAGAATTACCTGAGGAGTTTCAAAGACAGTTTTCAATGGTCAGGCTTCACCCAGCTAATAATTCAAAGCAAACTTTTTTTGGTTTTACTCTAAGTTTCCAGGTTTTGAGCCATGTGTTTGAACTGACCATCTATACCAGTGCTTTTTAAATGAAAGTTTAAGATATAACAAAAGGGATAAAAATAATATCTGAGTTCAGCTTAAGAAAAAGAATGTTACCAACACAGTTGAAGCCCCCTTACCCACAGGTTAGGAAATTGTTCCTTAGAGCTTCAAGGAGGCTGGGGAAGTGCCTTAGAGGCCATTTGGGACGTGGGATGGATGAAGGCAGTGTGGTTGGGCTTCTGGCCATTCCCCTTGCTTCACCCACAACAAAACCAGTTTTATTTTGCGTTTTACATGGAGGGTGTGTAAATGATTTAATTGGGAAAAGGCTTTAAAAGCCACTTATATTCATCCTCACTAGTTCTGTCTCTGCCTTTTGTACATAGAGATCATAGTATAGTAGTTGAAACAGTATGGTGGTAGGAGTCATCAGAAGGGGCCTGCAGTTCCAGTTCTCTGTACCCTCTTATGTCCTGGGTGCCTTTGCTCAAGTCATACCTCTCTGAATTCCAGAAAAGCTGTGAGGCATCTAGTGAGATAAAAGGGTGTGAAAAGATTTTCTAGACAAAGTTGTGTCCAGTGTAAGGGGGTTCTATTTCCAGAGAGTGTGGTTACTGTGCTTGTTCTCAGAGCCCAGAGGTTACTTGTGATTTTCACCACTGTTTCCATGTGGGTATGGAGGGGAGATTATACCTAACTTTTAAGAAATATTTCTATATTTTATTGAGCCTAAGACTTTTTCCCCACATTTTAACATCTCTAAATTTGGGATGCATCGTATAAGCAATGGCATGACATACTTTAATCAGCAGCTTCTTAAAGAAGAGGGTATTTGACAGTCTGAGGTGTCTTACAGTCACGGTAATTCCATGATTATCAACTTTGTTTCCTTTTCCCCATGAGAGTCACCCACCTGGCTAGAGAAAACCCCTTTGGAAAAAAACTCTGGTTTCTTTATTTCCTAACCACAGCCTGGCCAGACAGCTCAGCCTTCTTCCCCAGGGAGCTCCCAGAGCCAGTCTTTGCCAGAAGTGAGCTACAAGGGGTGTGGGGAAATGAGCCCAGCTTGATGTGAACCCCCTGGGTTGATGTGAGCAGCTCTCTGGCCCACACAGAGGAAGACAATGATTTCTTCATCTCTTCCAATAAAGTGGTAGAAGGGTTAGTTAGTGGGCCTTTTAAAGAAAAGTAGCACCTTAACCAAAAGTAATCTAAGCCTTGGACATTCACTGCACTTGGAGATTACCAAGCTTCCCGCAGTCCTGGAAGCCACTCTAATTAAGCTTGGCCCTTGCAGCCTTTATATCAAGCTCTTCCAGAAGGGGAAGGAGTAATTCCAGTGAAATCCCTGTACACTTGGGAACAGTAAAGAGTTTTTGGACATTGCTCCCTCAGAAGACCCAACTTGGCTTCAGTCATTCCATCTTGTTCATCATCTTCACCCTCTCCCTACCCCGCCAAGAGTTTAGCAAGACATGATCAGCCCAGATTATAGCTGCCCTCATGTAACTGGGTTAAAGTGTTGGCCTACTTAGGCCCCTCATGCAGGGGCCTCCTTCAAAGCTGATGAGGCCGATTATGGGGCTATTTCTGAACCTTAGTTGTATATTCAGAAGCCTTGGGCAGTCCTCTTGTGACAAGAAGGACAGTAACTAAGGCTGGACAACCAAGGGCAGAGTCTGCTGCCCTTGAGAGCAGAGCTATCAGACCTCATGTGCCCTTATGGAAAAAAGGGTCAAATAACAAGTTTAAGACTCTGGATTTTAAACTTCAACACTTAAACCAACCAGTTTTCAGGGAAAGACCCTATCCTATGTCTTTGCTATCACAGCTCAACAGAGAGATAGTGGATGGTCAAAATGAAGTCTTCAATGACAGTCACTAGCCTCCACTGAGTACATTCTGTGCATTTGAGAAATATTGTCATTTAACCTCTCTGAGCATCAGTTTGCTCATCTATAAAATGGTAATAATAGTACCAAATTCATAGAACTGTGGTGAGGATTGATTACATAAGGTACTTGGCACAGTGCCTGGCAGATTGTAAGAAGTTTACATAAATGTTAGATACCACCACTACTGCCATTATCACCACCACCTTTACCATCATTGTCACCATTGTCCTCCTCTTATCAAGACAAGTAGAGTGAATTATTAAAAAAAAAAAACTCAGTCTCTGGAGCTTGACAAACTTGGTTTGAATCCTGCCTCTACCACACTGCAGCTAGGTGGCCTTTAATAACTGATGACCTCTTTGAACTCAATTCTTATTCTGTAAAATGAGAAATTTGTAACACTGTTCAAAAGTGTATAACATGGTCCTTAGCTCACA